GCGAGATATTCCCCTCGTGCGTATTCAGTGGGATCGCCACGGAGCTACTTGGGAGGAAGAGTCCGATATTCGCGCTCGTTTCCCTGATTTTCAGTTTTGATGTACATATTTCTTTATCCTATGTACATAGCTCATGTATTATCAGTTATGTTTTGAATTTCCGAGGACGGAAATTTTGTAAGGAGGGAGGATTGTAATATCCCGATATTTTATCGGTATAAATTATATTCTAGTTCCGATATAATAACGTTATCGATTATTATTTTCGGAATTGATTATTTTCAGTTGAGATTACCGAAATTTATTTTCGACGTACCGTTTACGTTCGGAATAATTTTGATAATTAAGCAATATGTTTAATTAAGTGATTAAACATAAATTAAGTGATTAACTAATATTAATCATATTACTAGGGCTTAAAGCCGTGCATGATTTAGAATTGTTTTCCAATCAATTTCCTAAATGCCGTGAGCTATAGGTATGTACATGTTCCAAACTTTCCCAATTTTCCTAAGACTTAAGGAATTAGTTTCCTTTCATCCATTAAGCCATCACACGTGTTATTAGGGGACTTAAAGTGTGAGGATTAGTCATGCTAAATTATTTTCCTTAGCAAGCAAGTGTGAGCATGATAGGAGGCCACGTCTCCTAGACGTCACCACCATCCCCTCGGCCCTAATATAAAAGGAGGTGCTTGGACGAAATTTTTCCTCACTTTCCTATAAGCCATATTCAGCATATTACCCTCAAATATTAGCAAGTAACTCAGCTTGTCATCTTAAGCTTTATATACTCCTCATCGCACGGCACATACCGAAGTAACGCACGGCAAGGATCGAAGCATACACACGGGCGCACGCGAGTACTAGCGGAGGTCACGATCGGTTTATAAATTCCGACGAGCATCTAAGAAGGTATCGTTATCCTCATCTTATAATTATGTTAGTAAGGTCATAATAAGGTTAAGTGTTCGAATCATGTTCGAGAATTTCTAGTAAAGTCGTGCTAAAGTCCGATTATGCTTAAAGTAAATCGTGATCGAATAACTTTTTGTTTTACCCGGCAACTCTCGTACAATTCATGTTTATTTGTTCAGTTTAGATCATTTCATGTCCAGTTGGTTCATGTTAGTCGAGGCAAAACGACGTTTTATCGGTGAAGTGGCTCGAGCCGTCGTTAGCGCTTATCGCGCGTAGCCACGGGCAGCCTCGGGTCAGGTTCTGTTACCTTCAGCAATGATCATGTCTTTCCGTGCAGTTATGTCTTAAATTGCCTCGAGATAATGTTCATGTTTATTTGTTCAGGAGTTGCCGGGGGAGAAGGTGTTTTGGTCGGGAGACGGCGTATAGCCGTCGGCGGCGCACGACGCGCTCTCCACGGCCCCTTTCGTGTTGATCGTGCAAAAGTTACGTTTTCAAGTAATTTTTATAATTATATTCATGTTGAGTCAGAAGAAGTTGTTTTATGTTGAGGTTGTCGGAAGGAAACGCCGGACGGCCGACGGGAGTTGGTCGGGTGTGCGCTGCCCGCACATCGCGGTAACAGCGTACCGGCAAGAGGTGCACGGTGCAGGGAATGCGCGGTAGAGTGCCGCGTAAGGCCAGTGCCCACAACTAATAGTCGTTGGCGATGCGCGTGAGCATGTCAACCCTCCCCTGTCATGCCAGTCAGCGTACCGTGACGCACGCCAGCGTGCAGTACGCGTTCAGTGGTTGTCCGCAGCGTTGCCCAGTGCACGCCTGCGATCAG